ATCTACTCTTGGTAATATACAATACTATTGCTATTTATTACTATCATGATAAATTTAAGTATCTGTTAAACTGTAATTTATTTTTGATTTATTTATTTTTCTTTACCTTTCCTCTCCCTTGTTGTCTCCAGGAGTGTAGAGAGTATGGCAGTTACTTCTCATAATGATGGTACCTATACAGTAACCTGGGTACCTACCTCTCCTGGATCATATGACATTAGAGTCTGCATTGATGGATCACTAGCAGGTACAATCTGCATTTACATGTACATGTATATAGTACAAAACATTATGATTTGTTTCAAAAAATTGTCATTTTATATTTTTACATTCTTCAAACTTGTCAGCATAAAACTGGTGCTACGTATGATTTCATTTAGTAGATCCACTAATAGTCATTACTGTATAGATGGAAATTTTGAAGGGATTTAAATTTGTTGAATTTGGCATTTTGATAGCCATTTGCCAAAATAAAATCCGCCATTTTGAGCCATTATACGCTTGCTCAATGGCACATGGCCACAAATTTGCCAAGTTAAAATTTGCCAATCACCAAAATTTAGCACTTTGCCAAATTTTAGTCCCTCTACAATTTCCCACTATATGGTATACTCTCTATAATGTTGTATGTTGTATTGATTCTATTCTTTTGATTTCTTAAGGCGAGAGTCACACTTATGAAGTGCTACCTGCCATACCATCAGAGACAGATCAGAAAGAGGAGGAGGAGGAGGAGGAGGAGACAGCAACTGAAGGCTCCAAAGAAGATGAAGATAAAGAGACCTTTGTCATAGAGACTATCAAGAGGAAGATATTCACTGGGGAGAAGGCTCAAGGTGTGAGAGTGAGGGCTCAACCTTCCTTTGCAGCTCCAGCAGTGGGACTCATTAAACCTGGATATGTACTCTGCTATACTGATGAGGTACACTGTGTACATATACATATATATATGTGTGTGTAGTATGTACATGTACATGCATGTATGCATGTGTGCATGTACATGTACATGGAGCTTAGAGGAATGTTTTTTACATGTACATGTACACGTTGTACATATAGGCGTCATATACATGTGTGCATAATTATTTTATGCTAGTGTACTGTGTATGTAGCATATATATTGTACTTGTGTGGATTTATGTGTAACATGTTTATTTGAAGTAATGCTTCTTTAAAAGTTTTGATCTTGTACATGTATTATGCATGAAAAGAATGACAGAATTTTGTTAGTAGTATTTGCGTATTGACCTTTTCATTCTGACTTGCAATTTGTGTACTCACATGAGACGTAACTTCTTCTTTTCTTTTTGTCTGTCTTGCTTTTTTTCCTCCTCTCCCTCCCCCTCTTTCTCTCTCTCCCCCTTTCTCCCTCTCTCTCTCCCCCTTTCTCCCTCTCTCTCTCTCCCTTTCTCCCTCTCTCTCTCCCTCTCTCTCTCTCTCTCATTCTACAGGTGGAGAATGACGCTGGTACTTGGGTTAAGTTGACCTATGAGTCACTGATGGAGCTAAAGTGTACCAAAAAGGAAGGATATGCTCTGGCCTACAGTAAAGCCAAGAATGATGAGTTTTTGGAATATCATGAACCAAAAGAAGTTAAAAGGACCATCAAAAAGAAAGGAAAAGTAGACAAGAGAAAAGGTAAGTAGTAACTTGTACATGTATTTACAATAATTACATGTACATATACTTATACTTAGTATGTGACATATTGTGCTGTGTACCGTATAGCTCCAAATTTTCGTCAGTCAAAAATTTCGTCAAAATCTTAATTTCTTGTTAAAATTAATTTTCGTCAATAAAAATTTTCGTCATTTTTGCTATTTATCCGCATGCTACCCACGTGGAACAAAAATTTCGTCGGTTAAAAATTTCGTCAAGCAAAAGTACCTGACGAATTTGACGAAAATTTTGACCGACGAAAATTTGGAGCTGTACGGTATGTATTTAGAAATTTTTAAGGCAGAAAATTCATGCAAATAGCCTGGAAAAATTATTTTATTTTTACAAATACATGTATATGACAGAATAAAGCAGTAAGGATTAGATTATTGAATTTTCTTAAAATTAGAATTTTGAACTTTGATATTTTCTAGCTTTTTATGTACTTGTATACTGTATAGCAGGTAAATTTGGCGAATTTGGTGTTTTGGTAGCCATTCGCCAAAATAAAAATCCGCCATTTTGAGCCATTATACGCATGCTCAATGGCACGTGGCCACAAATTCGCCAAATTAAAAACCGCCAATCACCAAAAATTAGCAATTCACCAAAATTTAGCCCCTCCAAATTTACCCGCTATATGGTACAATATGCCACTAGATGTACATGTACATGTATTATACGATTGTACATGTACATGTACTTATTTCTCCCTCTTATAGATGGTCCTGGTACATATACAGTGGTCCAGTGTGGAGCTGCTGGTCACAACATTCGTTCCAAACCAAACATGAAAGGTTGTCCTCTTGGTAGATTGAGCAAAGGAAGCATCATCAATGCTGTTGAAGAGGTACATGTACATGTACATACATGTACATTTTAAAAACAAACTAACAAACTAACGCAACATAATACATGTACATACCCTGTTATATGTACATTGGCAGACAATACATGTATATGTATATTTGTACATGTACATCAGTTGACATTACATGTACATGTATTACATGTAGTTGATGGAGCAGGAAAAAGAGTACGTGAGAAGAGAGAAAATGCATAAAAAGGATCACATGTTATACATGCGTTCTTGCACACGTGTTGTGTAGCAAGTTTGAGATTTCAATCGAAATTGGACTTTTTATAGTTTCTCTAAAATTTGACAAAATACCCTGTACTATGGTACAGGGAAATTTGGCTGAGAGATTTTGCTACTTTTATTACATTTCCTGATTAAAATTAGAAGGAGAGAATTATTAATTTTTATTACAGTAATTATGATTAATGATTGTAATAAAAATACCATTTACAATAAATTTTATGAATTCCTATAGGCTGAGAATGATGATGGTATATGGTTAAAACTCTCACCCGAGTCAGTCCTCAAATACACCCAGCAACACTCACCTGACCCTGAAGGATGGACACTAGTAGTGCATCCTAGTGGAAGAATATTCCTAGCACAAGATGGTGACGAGAGCTACCAATCAAACGACTTCCAGTCTTCATCTGCAGCTTTTCCAACAGCTGCATCAGTCTTTGGCACACCATCATCTTCTGCAACGTCTCTATTTGGTTCTTCTGAAGCTCCTCCTCTTCCTCCCCGTCCCCCTGGGGCTAAAGGTCCGGTAAAGTTAGCTTTTGGAGGTCAAATTGATAGTAAAGATAATGAAGGATTGAAGGAGAGCGAAGGGTCACCTTTGACTGGGGAAGATAAAGGAGAGGAGAAGAAGGAGAAAGGAGAGGAGAAGAAGGAGAAAGGAGAGGAAGAGAAGGTCAAGCAGGCTACTGCTTCTCTTAACTCAAGAAGGTTAGGAATATACTGTACTTCTTTATAATGTACCATAGTTACTGTAAGATCAAAGGGACCGCCAGGTGGTATATAGGCCATGTACACCTAACCGTTGCCAGTTAACGATATTCACTGCACGATAATGAGATTCATTGGAGTATGTACATCTGTAATGAGATTCATTGGGTGAGTTTATCTGTAATGAGATGCACGAGCGATCTGCGCATGCTCAGTATCCAGCACATGGCAGAAAATGGCAGCATAGTAGTAGGCTAGACCATAGATATTAGAGACTACGTATACGGGATTGGAAACAGTGATACACTCCGCGACTTATTTTTTTAGTAGTTATGAATAGTTATTAAAGAATTAACTTGGTTTATAGATCTACACTACTGTAAAGTGCTGCACAATTAAAAACAAAAATAACCATAATTAAAAAATAATAGCAACAACTATCACTGAAGCAATATATCAATACTATCTTTAAACAGAAGTAAAATCTTTATTTCAAACAAATCCTTCTTTGAAGCAGGAGAGGGAGACAAAAATGTATGAGTCTGCGAGTGATTTTGTCTCAAAAGGTGGAGAATAAAGCTTGTATGGATCTGAATGCATAGCTTAAGCAACGGGCTGAACCATTTAGGTTGTAACATCGTCAATTCCAAAGTAAGTCAAATGAACCCGTGTCCTACAGAGGGAGACAAGGCAAAATGAGTAT